CAGGGGTCTCCACATGGCTGCTCTAGCACCCAGGGCTGCACTGGGGTAGGTTCTTGTGGCTTCTCCTTGGGGATGTCTTGCAGGAAGTGAGACTTGCCAACTAAAGCAGGGAACTGGCTAAGGCAGCTGCACCCTGGTCCAACCATCAGAAAGCAAGAGACCTGAAAACTAGAAAGGCAAGGCTTACTGAGCCATTTATCTCTCCGCCCTTCAATTAACCCCACATGTATTTATCAGCCAGGTTGGCACAATAAACTTTAACTATCTCAGTTGGCATCATTACTTACTACTACATTAACTGCCAAATAACATCATCACACATATTGCCAAACCACTGAGAATCATGGCCTAGCCAAGATAACATAACTTAACCATCACAGCCTGCATTACTCTTGCCTCACATCTTGGCTTTTATTAGTGCCATATGTATGGTGTTAATGCACAAAATACACATATAGTAAATTTTTTCCTGTTGTTGTAAATGATAAATACTGAATAATAAGATATTCAAGTAAAGTAGATGTATGTACACGATTAGAGATTACACCCCTCTTGTAGTTATATGCAAGCAGCAGCAACAGCACCCTTTTCCCTTGAGAATATGAAGTTGTCTTAGGGGTTCCATCAGTCTCTATCCAACCAGTAATCCTGGTCTTTTTGTGATTTTGAGTTCCACATTTTTCTCCCACTCTAATGTTGGATGCCACTCACATGTTTTGAAGTCCCCAATTGCTAATTATACCAAATTAGGATAGAGAATACTGTCTTTGTGGACTATGTTATGCCAATCAACTTTAATGTCTCCCACAAAAACTATGGTTCTGTGCATTATCTCTTCTAATGCTTGATTTCTAAGCCCTATGAAATTATTCCCCCTATTCAATACATGAAAAATGAGAGACTCAAAGTTGAGGTAACTTTCTTAGCTTCAGATACCTAATAAATAATGAAACAAAAATTTATACATAGTCTAACTCCACCCTTCCTGTTAACAATATCACGAGAAAAGAGGATCTTGTTTTTACAAGTACATAATATAACTCATATAACTTTACATGTTACATAAAAATACTAGATATGTGTGTATATAAAGCAAAGGTTGTTGAAAATGTCAAAACAAATGGCTATCAGCAAGAAAAGTAGAGCGATATAGTAGACTTTTTTTAAAAAATGAATCATTTTATTGGGGGGCTCCTACAGCTCTTATAAAAATCCATACATCTACTGTGACGAGAACATTTGTGCATATGTTGCCACCATCATTTTCAAAACATTTTCTTTCTACTTGAGGCCTGGGTATCAGCTCCTATTCCCGCCCCCCACAAGACTTCTCTAGACAAAATATAGACAAAAATATAGACAAGGTTTAGAAAGGCCATCAAGTGTGCAGACCCTAAAACCAAAAGTGAGATGCTCAAAGTTATCATTTAGAATGTTCATCTGGAGAGGTATGTGAAAGATGGGAGAGTGAAAAGCCTGAAGCCAGGATGAACAAACAGCTATAAAATCCCAATGTCCAGAATAGACCAACAATTTAATGTACATATTTCGAGGAGACGCAGCCTTAAGAAAGCAGGTCCCATCTGGAAGAACTCTAACACTTGGAAGTACACACTTAATACTACAGTCGCCTATTGAGCCAGGACTTGACTATTTATAAAGCACTTTCACTGAAGGAGGGACAGCGACACGTAGGAGAACAAAACAGAAACTCTTGGACGCAAGAAAGGGACATGACTCAAGGAGGGGAATTCCTAGTGCCATAAAGAGAGTATTGGTGTATAAATGCCCTATATATACCAACTCAGAATTCCCTTACATGTTCACCTAGGTGGATAGACTCCACCTAGGAGTCTGTCAAAGCAGGAACAGCAGCGGTGGCGGCAGCAGCAGCAGCAGGCAAACATGAGTATAAAGGGTCTGGCTGTAGTCTTGACTGTGCTCATCTGTGCTGCGATTATTCAAGGTATGTGGAACTTACATTTCTCCATTAAAATTTTTCTCTTATAGCGTTTCACAGATTGTTTACCCACTTATATTCTAAAAAATAATAAAAGAAAACAGAAAGCTTTATGTTAAAAAAACTCTGCACATTGGAAATTAACATAGAGTGCAGTGCTGGAACTATTTAAAAACAGGAGATGCTTATCAAAACTAAGGATAATTAACTTCATGGAATTTTCTATTTTCCTACAATATATGACAGTGCCTTTAGCAGTAGTTATAAATGCCTGTCATGAAAATGCTATATGCAACAACAATATTTGTCTCCTAGAAAAATTCTTAAGCAAAAAGAGGCAAATAAGGCTCACCTCCAACATAAAGAAACAGTGCACAAACTTCTTCATGCGTCTCTCTTAAGGTTTGCTTACAAATTTAGAGAGAAAATAATCAAGATTTTACTTAAGCTCTTTTCTCAGTAACAGTGGTGTTAAGTGCTGATCAATTACTATTTCTATCATTAATGAATGGAGCCCTGGTCGCACAGTGGTTAATACAATCGGCTGCGAACTGAAAGGCTGGTGGTTTGAAGCCATCAGCCCTCCATGGAAGACAACCGTGGCAGTATGCTCCCAGAATGATTGCTGCTGTTGTTTTCAGGTTCCGTCAAGTCAGTTTTGAATCATAGCGACTCTCTGTGCAGCAGAACGAAACACTGCCCAGTCCTGCACTAGCCTCACAATTATGCTGTTTGAGACTACATCGTTGCAGCTACCTTATCAATCCCTCTTGTCAAAGGACTTCCACTTTTTCACTGCCCCTCCACTACTACGCATGATGTCCTCTTCCAGGGACTAGCTTCTCCTGATAACATGTCCAAAGCATGTGAGATGACGTCTAGCCATCCTGCTTCCAAGGAGCATTCTAGCGGCACTTCTTCCAAGCCTACAGCCTTGGTAACCCTGTGGGGCATTTCTACTTGTCTCCTGGGGGAGCTCTGTGTCAGAATTAACTCAATGACATTAGTTATCAGTAATGAAAACTAGGCTCTCATTCATTACCAGGATTAGAAAGCATATCTACCCATTGCAATCAGATACATTAATAATTGATGCTCTGATCTGTTCTAGGTTTCCCCATGCTCCAAAGAGGTCGATGTCTTTGCATAGGCCCTGGAGTAAAAGCAGTCAGAGTGGCAGACATCGCAAAAGCCTCCATAATGTACCCAAGTTACAACTGTGACAATTTAGAAGTGATGTAAGTAATAGACTCGCTGGAGAGGGCAATGGTGAGATCTTTCGTTTCATGGTTTGTTTGATTTTCTTTTCTTTTTTTTAATCGTTTTATTAGGGGCTTATACAATTCTTATCATAATCCATGGTTTGTTTGTTTTTCATACCAATTTTAAGACTCTTTTGGGTCTTTCCTTAACAGTATCACCCTGAAAAGAAATAAGGGACAACGATGCCTAAATCCCAGATCCAAACAAGCAAGTCTTATAATCAAGGTAAATTACCATATTGTCATGTTACACCTGGTCTTATCCAAGCCAAAATTTTTGACCAAACAGAACAGACAACTGCAGAGAGATTCTGCTATGAAAATGTGTGGTATATTTTGATAATAGATTCTTGGTTATAATTCATTTCCTTTCTGCTTTGTTTTTTCACATCCACTGTAAATCATTAGAGAAATAAGAGTAATAGTCCAGTTAAATAAAATTGTCCTTTTCTCATTACAGGAAGTTCAAAGAAGGAATTTTTTAAAATATCAAAATATATAAAGTCTTGGAAAAGAGGATTTAAAAGCCAGAACAAGTTTTACCGTGACTACGAACACAACATGTATTCTGCATTAAGAAGCTGACCTTCTGCCTGTTGCAATACACCTTCCTGTATTTCCAAGGAACAGAGCTTTCTAGGTGATTGGATATTTGTAATTATTCTGTTGAGACTATGAAAGCAATTGAGTTTCTTGAAAGGATCTGTCAGTTTTTTACTTATATTCTATGTCCATAACCCATTCCATACTACAATCTGCAGTTACATTAACATTATTAGTATCGTGAAGATTCTGAGTCAGAATTCATGTGTGTAAAAAAATTGTCAAATTAATTTATCATGCAAATCCAGTCTTTTCCCCTAAATCATGTAGCATATGTATAAGTAAAACTTTTTATAAATAATTTTGCTTGCTTTTATAAATATTCTGATGCATGAAAACTACTATGAAAAAAATTATAAGTGAAAGGAAACTGGTAAAAGCTAAAATACTTCAAAATTGGGGAGAAGGGTGGGGGAGGGAAGGGATAAAGGGGAGCTGATATCAAAGAGTTCAAGAATAAAATGTTTTGAAACTGATTGTAGTAATAATTGTATAATTATGCTCGATTCATCCGAATTATGAAATGTCATGACATTTTTAAGAGCCCTCAATAAAGTATTAATAAAAATTCTTTTTAAAAACTAAAATTAATTAATTAATTAAATATGTCATAATTGCATTAATAGTTCTGGTCTTAATTAGATTCCCCCACCCCCTGAAAAATGAAAATAATTTTATTTATGTATTTTTAATGAAATACTTTTATTGGGGGCTCTTACATCTCTTATCACAGTCCACACAAATCAATGATTTAAGTATAATAAAAAGAATTGAGCAACCAGGGGGCCGGCCCCAATGCCAACTACTACGTGGACACCTGTCCCTCCCCCAGAAGAATTTATTTCAAAGGACAGCATTGAATCTGCAACTCCGGGAGAGAGCACACGGGAACAGATGAAGGGGGAGGAGGAGAGAGAGAGCGGAACACTTCCTGGCCCACCAGGACATGAGGGCGAGGTTCCTGATAAGCCAGTCCACAGAGAGGACCACAGAGAACACCACAAAGTGTTTTTGCATTGACGGAGTACTTGAGCAGAGGCCCAATGTCCATCTGCCATCCCAATACCAAACCTATAAATATATGCACCTAGATCCATCCTCATATATAAATATATTTACATATGTACATGCCTGCACTTAGACTGGGTAGCAATCTTAATATAACAACAGTAAACTACATTGCTACATTTTGCGACAGTTTGTGTAAAAAGCCAACATCAGTGCAGAGGTTGAGATAGCTTCTTTCTCACCAGATCGGCATATCTGCATGTAGGCGGACCCGTCTGGAGACGGATAGAGGAGTGGTGTCATGGTTCCTAAGACCATCAGAAATATGTGTTTTCCGATGGTCTTAGGTAACACCTGTGAAAGGATCATTTGACCTCCAAGGGGTCGCGACCCACAGGTTGAGAACCGCTGCTATAGCATCACTGTGAGCTGGATTCAACTAGATGGCAGAAGGTTTTTCCTTTGCGGTTCCTCTGGGTAGATATAACAGCCAGCCTTTTATTTTGGAGCAGAATATTCAAATGTGTGCATCACTCCCCCCAAAAAACCAACTCTCAGCCATCAAGTCAATTCTGACTCAAGGAGACCCTGTAGCACTGCCCCTGTGGGTTTCCCAGACTTAACTCTTTACAGGAGTAAAAAGCTCCATCTTTCTCCCACCGAGTGGCTGTGGTTTCACACTGCTGGCCTTGGCCACACTGTAACCACTACACCACAGGGCTCAACCTAGGCGTTCCATTCATCAGCTATAGCTAAGTAATGTGAGCAAGTCTGAGATCATCATGTATACTAGAATTATAGTTACACTTAAGGGCCAAAGGTTAACTATTTTCTGGAAATCTTGGTATTAGAATGAAGATATACTTGTTTGGTGTTGCTTAATGAACTACTAATATGTAGAAAATGGCCTGAGGTAGATTATATACTTTTTATGATTTCCCATAAATCATGCATCAGCTAAGTTTTCTTTTGTTTTGGAAAATATAGTTCTTTTTTATCTGAAAAAAAAAAGCTTATCAATGAGTTATCTTAACATATTCATTGCTATCAAGTCAATGCTGACTCATAGGAACCTAACCTACTCCGTTTACAGCAGTAAAAAGCCCAGTCTTTCTCTAGCAACTTAACATACAATGGAGTTCATTATTAGGGTTTCAGCAACACCCTTTCCTTACATTGCTTCTTTTTGACTGGAAGATGCTAACTGCTTCCCACTGTTGCTACACTCCTGGGAGGCTCATAGCCCTCCCTGGTTTCTTTAATCCTGCCCATACCAATGTTAGCAGAAGCTCCTTTAAATTCTGTCTTGAAATCCCAGATGAATGTGCCCTCTTGTTTTCTTCCAGGTTCCTATCTGAATCACAATCCTCTTGGTCTTGGTCCGGTTCGTGCAGGTTAAAAAGAACCTACTTCTTCCTAAGGCGCAGAAGATACTTCTAATTTAAGATGGCCAGGTCTTTGATTTGTTGATTCATGTCATAAATTTTAATAATTTGCATTGCGTAGACACATTTCCCCACAAATGATGTCGGAAGGCTTTATTCTGGGTCCTCTTAGTGCTTAAAAAGCTACAACTCATTCTGAAGGATTATGAAAAGCTCTGAAGTAATCAAAACTAACAAAGGTTGATGATAAAAGTAACTTACACAGGCAGTATAGTAAATATGTCAGGACCGTTGAGTTAGGATGTCTGAATTTGAATCTTACTATGAAATCCCATTTTAGCTATTATAAAAGAGGTACACATCATAGAGTACTCATAAAGATTAAAAATTACATGAAATATTTAGCATAAAAATAAAGCATTCCAGAAGTATTAATTTTAATACATTAAGTTTTAAAAGTAATTTCTAATACCAAGTAATTTACATGGTATTAAAATCAAGAAAGTTGTGTGTCAGGGTTGTACCTTCTCACAATACTTACTCAAAATATATGCTGAGTAAATACTCAGAGAAGATGGATTCTATTAAGAAGAATGTGGCATCAGGACTGGAGGAAGACTTATTAACAACCTGCAATATGCAGATGACACATTGCTTGCTCAGAGTGAGGAAGACTTGAGGCACTTGCTGATGAAGATCAAAGATTGCAGCCTTCTGTATGTAATACAACTCAGTGTAAAGAAGACCAAAATACTCACAACTGGACCAATAAGTAACATCATGAAAAATTGGAAAAATGATTTTGTCTTGCTTGGATCCACAATCAATGCTCATGGAAGCAGCAGTTAAGAGATCTAAAGACACATTGTTTTGGGTAAATCTGTTGCACAAGCCCTCTTTAGAATATTGAAAATCAAGGATGTTACTTTGAGAAATAAGGTGCGCCAGACCCAAGCCATGGTATTTTCAATTGCCTCATATGCATATGAAAGTTGGACACTGAATAAGGAAGACTGAAGAATAATCAATACATTTTTAAAATTATAGTGCTGGAAAGAATACTAAAAGTACCATGGCCTGCTAAACAGACAACAAATCCTTCTTGGAAGAAATACGGCCAGAGTGCTCTTTAGAGGCAAGGACGGTGAGACTTCTTCTTACATACATTAGACATGTCAGGAGAGCTTGGTCCCTGAAAATGGACGTCATGCTGGTAAAGCAGGAAGGCAGCGAAAGAGAGGAAAGCCCTCCAGGAGATGACTGACATAATGGCTGCAACCCTGGCTCAAGCATGGGACAATCGTGAGGGCAGCGCAGGACTGGGTAGTGTTTTGTTCTGTTGTGTACAGGGCCACTATGGATCAGAACCAACTTGATGGTATCTAATAACAAGTAGTTTAAATAGAGAGTTAATATGGAAAACAGTCAATCGTCAGACTGTTTATTTTAAAAACCATGCATGTGTCAAAAATCCTGGACTGAGATGTGTCAATACACCTTAAATTATAATTTTCTTATTCTACAAGGCTAATGTTTAAAAAAGAAAGAAAAAGAAAAGGAAGGACCCATGGACCAAGTCTCACCTCTTGCTCTGCTCTGGCGGCTTTCTGGCTATAGCTCAATGTCAGCTATTCAATCGAACTGACTAACGGTAGTCTTTCCAGCTCTCCCCCTTGAGTTCTTTGATGTCTACATTAACTATCCAATGACCTTTGCTAAATAGTATACTAATTTAAACTTTTCAATCTCTATGCTAGGCCAAATATTGCTACATTTTCATAGAACAGAAATTCTTAGACACTTCCCAATATCTGAGATATAAAATGATCAGAAAAGTACTGTCATAATTACATCTCTCTGGCTTCTCTCCATAAGCAATCAAGGATCTACAACTTCCTCTATAAAAGGCAGCAGTGATCAACACTGTATATACACAATGCTGCAACTCTTGTGATTTACCAGTAGATGATAGACAGACATGAAGGTTGAAGAGGTGTGGGAGGGAAAGTGAAAGTATACCCACAAATATATGTACAGACTTGATATATTTGTATATGTGTATTTACTTTTGCTGCATATATATCTAAGAATGTGGTGTAGCACTCAGGGGAAGATTTGTGAAAATTTCTTAGACATAACCAAACACATCTTGAGGGAATAAAAACTTCTTAGATAACCAAACACCTGGGCCTGGGGGCTCAGAACCATGGTCTCAGTAGCATCAAGGTCAACAGAGTTCACAGAGAGAATGTTCTACATCAGTGGTTCTCAACCTTCTAATGCCGTGACACTTTAATACAGTTCTTCATGTTGTAGTAACCCCCAACCATAAAATTATTTTCGTTGCTACTTCATAACTGTTAAGTTTGCTACTGTTATGAATCGTAATGCAAACATCTGATATGCAGGATGTCTTTTCATTGTTACAAATTAAACATAATCAAACCATAGTGTAATCACAAAACAGTATGTAATTATATATTGTGAAATATTTATTTCTAATTACAAATAAATGAAATTTTGTCTTGCATCATGGTGTAACATGGGTAACAGTCTTACTATAACAACAGGAAACTTCATTGCTACATT